CACTACAAAAATAGGGCAGGTGTTTGGGGCTACACCAGGATGGACATCTACAATGAGAGTGAAAAACAAAGGCTTTGTTCCACTACGGACTGACCAGAGAATCTAATAATTTTTTAGCTTGAAATGTTTTTATGAAACTGAATGAAAATAGAGGGTATATCTGGGAGAAAAAACAGTGCTTCTACTTCAGATCCAAGCTTGCTCTGTAGGATTGTGCAATCTTCAGCCAATGTTCTTTCACAGCTATTTTTTCCCCCATTTTGTCTAGGGGAGAAGAGAGAAAAGGCGTCTTGAAAATGCTTTTTATTGTACATATTACATCTAGGCAATGAGTTCTTGAATTCATTGAAACCTGTGGGTGCTGTCATTATGGAAATGTATAGTCTCATTTTTAACAGCCAATGCATAGGTTTTTCAGTTTGCTTTTGAAGAAGGCTCAATAATTGCATATGCTTTGTTGTATATGAGGCAGTTACCAGTATTTCTTTTCATCATATATATTTTTTAAAGTTTCCATCTTTTTCTCTCTCCACAGCTTTCTTATTTTTTTCTTTTCTGTAACTTTCCTTTTGGTTTTTGGACTAGTAATGTGTTTTTCCAAGAAGAATGGCTCTTATAATCATGGTTATCACCTCTGATGCACTTCAGAAAGGCTATCAGACTTAAAACCTTTCTCATAAGCAGCAGTGGAAAACACAAATTGTTAAAAATAGATTGTATTTTGTCTTTAAAAGGACATGAATGCATGAGTTATCCCACCTCCCCAAAATAAAGCACATTTCTATTAATATACTAAGAAAATTGTTAAGTCCAGCAGGGAGATGCATTTTGCTTTTCAAGGCATATGTCACTCCCTGATTCAATTATTGCTGAAGGCTTCAGAGGCAAAATTAATTAGCAGTCTGCCATAGTTCTCCAGATTCCTGGAGCTCCAATAATGACTTTTTTTTTGTAGAACTGTCCTTATTACATGCAATAGACAAGTCTGGACATAGCAACTTATTCTGTGAAGCTCCTTAAAACTTATTACTGTTATCAGCAGCCTGTATGCAACTGTAGAGGTGCTAGATGTTGGGGCTGTAAGCACAGAATGTAGAATTTTAAGTTACACCTTGTTTTGAAAAAGGTCTTAATGATTTTCACCCATCTCTAGCAATTATTGTATTACTAAAAAAAAAATGAGGTTTTTCAGGTTAAAGAAAAATTGGTGATGTCCACTGCAACCATAGGTAGTACTGGAAATTAATTTTCAATTTTGGCTGCTTAACTCTGCAGAGAACTGTTCGATTTTTTCATATGTGAAGGAAAACAACATCAGGAATTTTTATGTTTCGATACACAATAGTTTTTGACATCCTAGGTCAGATCTGCAGATCCCATAGTTCTCAGCACTGTTAAACTTATCCACATTTGCTGAAGTTCTACCTCTGTTTCTGAAGAAAAACAAGAAAACAAACATAATAGGCATTTTAACTTATCCTAAATTTTCAGAGTCAAAACATAGCATGTTTTTAAGTGCTTTTGTGAAGTTTTTAAAGCTCTGTGCAATAACCCTGGATTACAATCTGTTATTTTTTCAGTTACTTGGTGAGAAATAGCAATACTCTATAGGAATACGATGAGAACTAAATATTATTGCTTTATTTGTGTTAATTAAGTTAGTCAAGAGCATCTATCAGTGTGTCCACTGCCTAATATGCTCAGCTGCATGAGTTTAGAATAGCAAATAGATCTGAGATGAAAATGTGCGTCTGAGCGGAGGTTTACAAGTACAGTCAGTATCTGTATATGCTAAGAAAACCCAATCTGTTGTGTTGCATTTCATGCAAACTGCTGTATACTTTGTGTTGGCATAAACTCAGAATGCGCTTATCCGGAACCCGGTAGTATTTCATTTTCATATCACTTCAGAAGTGTATGAGCATGCTTCAGTTAAAGCAGGGCAACATATGGTTCTGTTGTATAGGTGTGGATTAAAATCTTCTGCATGATAATGCTTTTAACTTTTACTCTCTTAGTACCTTTATTGATGCTAAACATAGAGACGCTCGTATGCGATGCAGTTGCTTTAAGGCAGGCATCTAATGACTTTCTTGTGTGCTGCACTGTATCCCATCCGAGCTTCTACTAATGGTCCAAAAGGGCAGATGGAATGAAATGTGTGAGACTGTTCTCATGACATTTGCTGCCAAATTATAGGACCGTGCTCTGTCCACGTTACTGATGGCTTGGGTCGAAGTATCTGCAAATAGGCTATTTAGTCTTACAGCAGATATTAATCAATATTTTGTAAGCAGCTAGTATTTGTAAGGTATGGGGATGCTAAATCTACAATGGGACTTAGTCTTGTACAATCCCTGTCCTGGAGACAGTGCCTCATATAAACATCAACTTCTGTTGACATGTCCCTGATGATACTAGACTTTATTGTTTGCTTTTTCATACCTCATACTTTTACCTGTCTTTTCTTTTATGCTTGACAGGATTTCACATTAACTACATGTTCTACAGATTCATTCCTCATTTATTCTCATCTTTCACTGGAAAGTTTGTTCTTTTTTTCCAAGGAGACCTTGACTACTGAACTTTTCAGTTTTGCAATAAAAAATAGATTACTAGGATGATCAGACATATCTAATATAAAACTTTTTTTTAAAGAATCTGGGAAGTTTGACATGACCAAAAAGAAATTATAAACTTTCTTGATGATAATTTGAAACCATTAGGTAGGGGCTACTTAATCCTTTTTTGGAGGCCAAGCAAATTATCATAATTGTGGAAAGCCAATTGTAGAAAAATTTGTTTATATCTTGGAAGCAGACAGACTACATTTGATGTAGCAATGTCAGCACACATCAGAACTAATATCCATCACTCTTCCATAAAAGACCTGGAATGAGTCAATCAACTGAAATTCACTCTTAACTGCTTGCTCCCAGCTGAGGCATGGAAAAACTGTTTGTCACTGCACGGTGACATGGCATGCCTTTGTTAAATAGATACTGAACTTTCCTGTTCACTGTCTCTTTTACATCCTGTCATCTTCTTGCTCCCTCCTGATTCTCAAAACATGAGGTGAGCTCAGACCAGCCGAAGCTGGTAGTTTGGAGCCAGACAGGGAAGGATGGAAGCTTGCTAGGGAGCTGTAAACTCTGCCTTCAGTGGGTGTGACAGCACTGGAGATATTCAGAAGGAGAGATCAAACAGCAAGCTTTGAGGCCCCTTGCTCCAGAAATACACAAAACACAAGTGCTGATGTGCTACGTGGAGTAAAAGCCAAGTCCACAATAAAGACATAAAGTAATAAGCAGAGAAGTTGGTGGATACAGCAATGGCTCGTCCTACATTTATATTTAATGCTGGTTGAAAGTGTGCATGGGATCCAATGAATTGCAGGCAAATGTATGTTATGCGCCCAGTAAAACTGAAAGGTTTAAATTATGCAGGACATGTCATCCTGCTGCCAAATATTTAACACCATTCCTGCGGAGGAGAGACAGCTTAGGGATCCTTATTTAAACATTAGTAATCAAATCCTTTTCTTATCATGGGAACCTCTTTTGCATAATTTGTGCCTGCCACATCCAGAACTCGCACAATAACTAATTTGCAAAGAGACAGCCCAGTGTTGGTTGACAAAACTTAGGGCTTCCATAACAATTTGTGCTGTACCGTAACTGTGAATAAAAATAGGTCTGTCTGGATCACCATTTGCTGATTATAATTGTTGCCTATGCCTTATATTTTACAGTGAATTATGATTATTTTCTGTCCTGGGATTGAGAATGAACATCTCTGCTACATAAAACTATCCATTTTCATTCAAAAAGAAAAATGTTAGAAATTCAGTTTTTTTCCACGAGATGCACGTCACCCGGTGCTCCCCATAGTCTTCTGAAAGTAATGCTCCTGGCATCAACTGGCTGATCTATCCAATGAGTATAAATTGTTCCTGCCTGAAATGAATTTTATTTCAAATTCAGTACCTTTGAAAATTTATGGAGTAGTCTGTAGGGTTGTTTTTTTTTTTTTTTCCTGAGTGCACAAAAGGGGCCAATCCAGCACAATGTGCCCTTATAAGAATTATTCATTATTTTAGTCTTATTCCAGCCCCATTTTGATGACCTAAAAAGTGGTACACTGTGGCCTCTTCTGTGTTTTGCCTGAGTACATTTGGGTGCTGATGGCTTAATAATCACAGGAAAGTGAAGGATAAAGAGCTGCAGTCAGTAGCTGTGCTGGTAGTAGCTGAAGTTTCAATGGGTATTAGAAGTGAGGAGATAAGAGCAGAATTTGTAATACAGATCCACTATGCAGAGCAAGTAACTGAACTCACGCCTACATATTTCAAGCTTGTTTCTACAGTGCGTGAAATTCCATAATGTTAATGTTGACCTTTACTATGGGGAAAACATAAAGGGGAGGAGAATGTGTCTTGCTGTGTTGTGAGGGTGCAGCATTTTCAAGTGTGATGGGAGGCTTTAGGGACCAACAGAAAAATACTAATTGGTCTTCTCTGTAAAGTCTATTATGTGTATTGGATTCCAGAATTAATCCATCACAATTTTTTGACACATTATTTTGCTTTTTCGTTTAAATTTAGAATGGAAATAACTGATTATAACAGGAACATGCAGATAAAAACTGTTATAGGAGTTTTATGTTTCTTTTAGCTCTGGGATGAGATAAGTAATATGTATATATATATAAAGGATTCAAGCTATGAAAACATTGTTGGAGGAAAATGTGCATCAATAAAATTTAGATTCATTTCTGCTCCTTTTGTCTGCTAGAAAAACATAAGCTATCAGCATATCTCATGTTGGTTGCTGTATGGGAACTGTTAGATCAGGACCTGAACCAGTGATTGAGCACCTGGTAAAGGGGCACAGCCAGTCCTGTGAGCACAGGTGGAAGCAATTCACTTGTGGGACGGGAAGGGGTGGAACCAGGTTTCATCTCTCCCTAACCTCATTTAGGGGCTGGCAACTGCAAGGGAAGCACCTCAACTTGGAGACTGTTTCTTTTGGAATGTTCAAGAAGCCCTGATCATCAGAATGGGGTGAGTGATTCTTCCTTTATTACCAGATCGTGACTTCTGCCTTTCTTGGGTGATCTGAAACTGGTTTAAAGGTGCTCTACCTGCCATTGTCTACCCTTACAGTTGCTAATAGAGAGTGTTGTAGAGCATGTTGCGCTGTAGCTTCTATATTCCTGTATATTAGAGGATATAACATTAAAATAGATGTAGATCAATCATTTCCTGGTACATAGCCTTCTGACTTCTGATAGTTCCGCTTCAGGCATTACCTGAGCTAATGGCAGCAGCAGCAACTAATGCCCACTGCGTCTGTCCTCCATTTAATTGTATAAACCTTCTTTTTTCCTAATCTATTTATCATTTTGACCTTCTAATCATTAAATACTTCTAGAAAACTTAAAGTTGAAATATTATTCTCATTTCCTTTTCCATTATTAATTTTAATGTTAGTATTGCATTGTTTCCAATCCCTAGGATTTCTCTGCCTTGTTTGATTCCTTACTTGTTTAGTTTCCTGAAGGGCAAATATATATAAATGCAGTGTTCTCTTTCAGCTTTGAAGAAATTGCCTTTAGGTCAGTGACTAGATCCCCTTTCCTTTCTACCGTCTTGTCCTTTGCACGCTATGCCTGACATATTTCCTCTTGTCTGCTTACTCTACGTCATTTTTTACAGTTGTTTTTCAGTGCTGTCTTTGTTTCTCGCTCATTGCTTTGGTCTTTCCATTTTTCTTTTTCATCCTGTTCACTTTGACAACTTTCCTCTTGTCCTGCTGTAATTCCACACTTAGTTAGTTCACTTCATGTTTGATAAAGGGGAATCAAGCCTGCTAAATCTTATTTGCCAATACATTGGCTTTAATTTGCTATGGAAGCAGTGACTGCTGCGGTTTTTCTCAGAACCTTCCTCTTTAATCCACCTCCTTGGCAATACTTTCAGCCCTATGTGTTAAGGCTGGCATGTGCACAAATGCCTCTTGAATGAGGTGGAAGCTTCTCACCCAGGTGAGTGATGAAGCCCTGGGTAACTAATTTGCTGAATTCTCAGCTGTGTGCAAACCTGAAAAACGAGTTTGCACCCATTGAGAAGCAGCCTTTCCCACCACTAGGCAGTGCAGATTGACTTGAAATTTATTCAAATTCTAGCTCTCAGGTTTTATCTGTGACAAAACTGCACACATGCACACACTTGCAAAAAAAAAAAAAAATTAAAAACAAAAAACAAAAAAAACAAAAAACAAATGAGATCTAGCAGAAAGAGACTGGAAAGCTGGAAGTGAGCAGCTTACAAAAGGACTTCTTGTCCTACATTCTCTTGAAAATTCAGTCCTTTTAAACAGGATCATCCTGGATCTGCAGGCTGCCATGGGAATTCAGTGCCGGTGGCTATCCACCAGAAGCAAAGGCAGAGCTAAAGCTTCTTGATGGTTTGCACATATTTCTTGATGTAACCAAAAGCAAATCCAGTGATGGCTGGAATATTTTATTTTTCTTTCTGAAGAGGTAGAAAGCATTATAAGATGGAGCTCAAGCTCCCACTGTGGAAAAGAACAGCTTTGATTTACTGGTAATGAGAGTAGAATGAATGAAGCTCATTCCACCTAATGGGTGTGAAATTCGGTCATTTGATGTGACACTAATGCATTTTCTAGAGAATATAAGAAGAAATCTAGCTGGGAGGGACTATGGTCAATACAAGGTTCTTGGAACAAAGGAACTTGCCTTGTGATTGAAAAGTGCTTCAGCACATGACAGTACTACCTACAGAACATCACAGTTTGATCCTTGGCTTGAAACAAAACCACTGGTTGATTATAATGTGGTGGTGATAGACAGGTTAGAAGATTGAAGAGGGGGTTGAAGATTTTCATTGGGATCACTGGACATTTTACTGTTGCTCTTCTTTTTAACGGAGTGAATATTTTTATTTAATAGAGGGAAGATTTTTGGATTCTCGAATCTTTCTTATTTTCTTTTTGAAATAGTCTTGTGATTAGAAGGTTGTTTTAAAATGCTCTTCTCAAAGCAGTGAGTTATTTTCTATAAAGACTTCTCTTATCTTCCCCTTATCTTCACCAAGCAATCTTCATCAAGAGTAACCGTGGTACCAAAATACATTACTGATGTAGGGAGAGACTTTTGGGTAGACCTCCTTCTGTTTTTACTAGTGCTCTTGGGTTAGGAAGACACACACTACAGATCCTCAACTGTGTTTTCAGTGCTGGAGGATGAAGGCCACACATAGGTGCTCACCTGCAGCAGGTGAGCAACAGCTTCCTTCAAATGTGTACCTTCAGGACAAAACAAATCACAGAATAGGAAGGAGTGGGAAAATCCTTGTCTTTTATGAATATTTCTGTGTTTCTCAAGTCTAATATGTTCTGCTCCTACATGCTGTAGTTATTTAAAACAAGACTTAAATGATTGAGTGGTGCAATCATGTATGTGAGTGCAGAAAAATGATCTTTACTCTCAGAGAAGCCGTAAGTCATTAGGGTAAATGGGACTGGTCACCACTGGAACCCAACAAATCAGTCTGAGGGGAAAAAAGTGTTCAATTGGATTATATCCGCATTACATTTTTTGTGTGTGTTCTAATATTCAGTCATGACTAAATAATTTCTGAACAGGTATTTCTACCTTTTGGGCAAATTAATATCCGTTTGTCAACCTGCCAGACTTAGTTTTGAAATTGCGTAGTATTGTTGCTTTGCCTGGGAGTGTGAGCAGCAGAAAATATTACATTCTCTTTAATTATGTGCATACATACATACTGCACATTTCACTCCAAACCCAAGCATGTATCAGCCATCAGAGAAGGCAGGAATATCGGCTTACCACAGACAGCACTGAGGCAGAAGTGCCTTTTAATTTCAGTGAGTCACTTGCTTTTGACTTTAAAGAGCCTGCTGTGGCCCTGCATTTCTTTGACCTCAGGTATTTTTATTTTCTTTTACTGTGGCTTCATTTCCTTATTACAGATGTGCTCTCAATTAATTTTGCTTTCTGAGCACTGTTTAAGCAGTGAGATTTCTGGGACCGTAACTTGTGTGCTGCAATTGCCTGTCACCAGAAAGATAAAGAAACCTGAAAGAATTGGCCGAGTTTCTCAAGTACTGCACATTCAGCTAATGAACCAATTATTCTGTGTTTATAAAATAATCCCCCAAATCCCACGTATAAAGTATTGCTAAGTAGAAAGGTCCTGGCTATCTGATCGCTCATGTGCTTCCATACTAGCAAGCTAATGTGCCAAGGACAAGTTAACCATCCCTGGATGTTTTCAAGTGAAGGGTAGATTTTGCACTGAGTGACTTGGTTTAGTGGTCATGGTGGAGGTGGGTTGATTGTTGGACTAGATGACCTTAGTGATCTTTTCCAACCTTCATGATTCTATAATTTTAAGGACGTAGAGGGAAGGATGTTTTGGTGTGTGGTGCTAAGGCAATTTGTGCTTAAAAGGAAATATGCTGGGAGCAGCTGGATTTGGGCAGTTTGTCTCTTGGCTGCCAGCGGTACCAAAAGGGAGTAGAAGCCCTAAGTAGCTGGTTTAATATTTTTACAGAACCATATATTGCTTTCTATAAGCAAAAGAATAAAATTGAAAGTTTCTTTAAGAAAAACTGAAAAGTGAATGAGGGGAAGTATCTCAGTTTTGAGAGGACTGTGTGTGTCAGGGACATCAGGTGCCTGAGGAGAAGACGTGTGTGCTTGCAGGAGGTTTTGCTCTTTTGGTGGCTGGACCTTTAGCTCATAGGCTTGTTTCAGCTGTGAAAAATCTCTTTTGAGTTAACTCGGAATGAGGTGAAATGCTAGTTTTGACATAAAAATGCTTTAAGGATTAAATCTGATCTGCTTTGCTCAAGATTAAATATTTGTCTTAGTATTAATTTGTTGAGAATATTGCCCTCAGCTGTTTCTTCCCATGCTGAGAGTGCTACTTGCAATGTGTGAATGCACAAGTGGGAAGAACACAAATGAAGCTCAGTGACTTCGAACACGTTTTTTTAGGCAGAGTTAAGTGTAGACTAGGAACATAAAGGATCTTTTGAATATTCTGCGAGGTCTCCAAAGACCACAAGTAGAAGATGTGCAAAACGAATGTCGTAAGGCAAAGTAACCTCAACCACATTGAGTCTCATAGCTCTTATCACTCATGTTATGGCTCATGCTTCACAGCTAAAGTCTTGGCCAGCATCATTGGGGTTGAAATTATTCCAACAGAGTTAGGTAAGGTAGAAAATGAATCATGGCTGAGGTGTGTGCAGCACTTGCATTCTTTCTGTGTTGTAAAAACTATGGTTTTAAAGACAGCATAACCTCAAATCATAGCAAAGACATTTTATTATTGTACATCTGTGAACGGGGTGTTTAATGTTTGACATGTTTATTAAAAAAACCGAACACAGCACATTATCCATCTGCTATGATTACTATGTAGGTAGGCAGTTGGGACTTTGAATATGAAAATCTCTGGGCTTTTGTGCAACCCATTGCTGCAGCCTCCAAAAACTTTCTCAGTAATATATCTGCATGGTGAGGCTTCTACTGTACTTCAAGGTGTTGGCTCTTCTTCCTAATTATGTGAAACCAATTGACATCTCAGCCTGACCCTGTTTGATAACGTTTCTTGTGTCTGTCAAATTTGCTGTGTGCTTTGGAATATCAATTATCGTGAAGAACTGTAGCTGGTGAGCTCATTTATGCAGGAAAACTGGTAGCAGGCTTTCAGGATTAGGAGTAGATTTGGGCTATGACAATCTTGGCTGCTGGTTCAGCCAAGTCTTTTCCTGTTGATGGTCTTTGGGATTTAACTCCTTTAATTTCTGGAAGTATTAAATTTCAAATTAAAAATTAGTTATCTTAGCCTGCTCAGTGTCATTCCCAAAGAATGTGGTAAAGAGCTGAATTCTGTCACTTGCACTAACCTTCTTCCTGCTTTATTCTCCCATGCCTAATGCTTTTTCTTGATTCTCTGTCTTTAGAATCATAGAGCACAGCATATATATGTGTGTGTGTGTG